CTACGTTTCTCTATCACAGAATTAAATAAATATTCTTTTAATCATACATCATTCTAACGATGACATCATTCTAATGATGACAACTAATTAGTAGAATAAAACGTTATTTACTGCCTATAATAATGTTTTATTCGGCGGCGTATTTTTAATACATTGAACGTATTTTCTCACGTAATCCTGACAACGCAAGATCGATTTCGGTGCTCCAAGTCGACGAGCCCCCGCGCTAACAGGAAATGCAGGAAACGTTTTCCAATTTCCACGTTTCATCATCGGGGACAAGTCCGGGAAGGGTTGGAGGGAGAGACCGATCGATTGGCGGTGCAATAGCTGCATCGCCACCCCTTCATCTTCCGTTTTCAACACTTCAAATCGTAATTCTTTTTCCTCCAAAATCAATGCGAGATGTATTAACGCAAGACACATTAAGTTAAATCACTAAAATAAAGTCGAAACCATTTCTTCAGAGATCAGAAAAAAATATAATAAAATATTCCAAATATAATCGACGAGCCAATCGACATATTTTTTATCACGTCCCTTTATCATCATGTCACAGAAACGAGGGTGACGTCACGGCCATGCCATCCTGCTCTCCTTCCTTTTCCTTCTTCGTCTCTATCTTTTCCTCGCCACCTCCATTCCCCCCGTCCATTAATTAACAGGCTTTGTACTTTTAAACGATGTTAAATAAACGGTATTGTTCACGGGGAAAGGACTGAAAAGCGGGCGCCATTGTGCTTTAAGCTCGCTCCTCGTCCTCGTCCTCGTCGTCGTCGTCGTCATCGTCGTCGTCGTCGTCGTCGTCGGCAGTAGAAAGAAGGAAAGAGAGGCTGAAGGAGTATTGCCCGCGAATGCCAACTTACTAATACCATCAGTGCTGAGAAGTCTTTGTTCTAAACAAATACGTCGAATACCTCGTCACCCCCGCCGATCATCCCACCGCCCCTCTCTTGTTCGACCGTGCCACCTGCCTTTCAGACGGGAAAACATGAATCGATTGGATAAGCCATAATATAAATAGAGAACAGGGCTACCCCCTTCGCGGGACCGGAAGTCGCTTCGGCTTTTTGATTCCATACACAAATCTACGCGACCTATGAATCATCAACTCTGCTAGGTTGCTATTTCTGAAATAATGGACATGTTTTTCTAGGAAATGACTATCTTTCTACATATATTTCAAAAGATTATGTTTACATTAAATTAAATAAAAATGTCATTTAATAATATCAAAAATATTACAGTAAAGTTTCGCATTTTACCCTATCAATACTGATGACATCATAATCAAGCAAGATAAAGAAACGCCAAATATCTAAGGAATTCCGGAGAAAATATACGTTTCAAGAAGTTTTATTTATTAAGAATAGCAGTTCGATCCCGGCACGGGCTGTGTTATCAGTTCGCTATTGTCTCGAAAGACACAACGTCGGATTCTCATCCAGCGTTTGCCGATACCTTTCTTCGGAGTTCATTGTGCGCTACCACGTATCCGTATTGTCCAACAGCCGACGTGCTCTGTTGTTGTTAGCAGGCAGTAACAACAACAGGAGGAGCAAGGGATTTGTGGGGTTCGCTGTGAATCCTCGGCACCCTGCGCTCTTATCAGTTTCTCTCTATTGCTTTTCTCCTCTCCTCTTTTATTTTCCTTTTTTTTTTGATCTTTTAGGTTCACAAAATGATTGTCTGAAAGTGATAGTAATTCGCTAATTTCTAAAAAGTTTAGGCTCTCTACTTATACAATCTTACTTAAATTATTCAAGTTATTTTAAACCCTATTTTTCTATATCGAAAATTTTTATCTCGTCCGAATGAAACTTTGTATTCTATCGGCCGTTCAGAATATTACTTCGCTTTCTTTCCTTTCTTCCGGCAACTTTTTTATTCGTGTCCGGTAATCCTGACCAAAGCTATATGAAAGGAAAGATATTAAAGTCCTCATGCGAAACTTGGAGAGTACGAAAAAGTCGCTCTCTTGACAACTTCACGACCGGTTCATCCTGAACAAATCCCGAATTAAAACCTCGAATTGAGCCATTTCGTTTGACAACAATAACAACAAATTTTCTTCGTGGATTCCTATTTCCAAGATAATCAACATCGGCGCTTCTCGTGTTATTTACGTTTTCAAACTTTTTTTTAATAAGACTTGGATATTTCTTAAAAGGTCTTTCTAAGAAAAAAAATTATTCTAAGGGTGTAAATTTAATGAAACTCAAACCAGATATTCTGGATTCCGTATTCGATCTTGTTATAGCAATCCTTTTGCTACCAAATTTCTCAACAAAATCAGTCTCCAGTAAACAGCTGTGAGCTGTTCGTAGCATCGCGACGCCGACGTCTCACCGTGGCGGCCATTGTTGGCAGCGTCGCAGTGCAAATCCCGGGCGCATTGTACCGCCGTTGCATCAGCCTCGGCGTCGGGGTAGGTATCGCACCTCGCTACCAGCGGGTTCCGCTTCCAGAATGCCAGAACCGGGGCTTCGCGCTTTGTGCGCGCCTCGGCGGCCGACAACAAGTGGTAATTAATTCTGTGCAAAACAATCAGCCCGCTAGCTAGTGGAGGGAGACGCAGAGAATGGCGAAGGGGTTAAAAACGATTCGCGATTTATTCCTTCCATCCCTCCGTCCCTGAGGCCCGCCGGGAAATCCCAAAAGCGTTTGAACGCGAATCGCAATAGTATGTGAACGTGTGAAACGCAACGGGAAAAGCAATAATTAATCGTATAATGATAATTTTAAACTTACTACTGAATTTGTTTCTCGCAATTATATCATATATTATAATTAATAATAAATAGTAATTAATATATGCTCGAAAGTATCAATATTTGAGAATCAATTCTAGAAATTTAAATAAATATTCAAAAAGAGTTTAAGTTTATAGCGATGCATTAAATCCCGAAAAAATTAACACTTTGTATTATTTTATCAGTTGACGAAAAATAAAATTGCGTCTAATCATAAAAAAGAAAGTGAACGAGAAAATTTAGGTAATAAATTAATATAAATATATAAACTTAAGATAATGCATAATGATATAATGATGTGTAAAGATAATGTTACAATAATACAAATTTTGTTAATTTGGACTACCGATATTATTGTAACATTCTTTATACTATTGTATCATTAATCTTCATTACATTAAAATTTACTTGCATTAAGATGCTTAAATTTTCTCATTCGCTTCCTTTTTTTAAGGTGGAAGTGATTTTTCGTTAATTGATACGTTAATTGGTAATACACAGTACCAACTTTCTCAATATTCTTAATATGCATACCATAAATGATCTCTCTTTTCTTAAATATTTATCATTTAAATTGCTAGAATCACAGAAGTTCAGAACAACAGAAGTTCTCAAATATTGACTTCTAAACATGTTAATTATTGTTTACTATTAATTACAATATACTGAATGCAGTTCAGCATATTGTATACTGCACTTAACTTAACCTAACCTAACCAGAAAAAAATTAGTAAAATGAAACAAATTATCCAATTAATTAATTATTTAATATAAGAAGTCTGTTTTTGCTGCTCTCTGAACTGGTGCAATAAGCTGAAGTGAAATAAACGTATATTTGTTTCACTTCAACTTATTGCACTGTGTGTACCAGTTCAGAAAGTGAAGTAATAAAAAACAGACCTAAGAATTCAGAATTACGTTTGCAGAGTGATTGTTTCATCTACATATGTAAATAAATATGTGACCGCAAAAAATGTAAGTATCTCATGATACTTTTTACTGAAAAATTTAATTAAAAGTATAAAAATATTAGGTGTTGGAATTAATTCGTAGCGTTTTACAAGTGATGGGAAGTACTTTCATTAATGTATTTTTTAATGCTCATGTGAAATAAATAACATTCTTTCATTAAAAACGCTACGAATTAATTCCAACACCTAATATTATATTTAAATTATCCAGTAGAAGTGAACAATTTAATAATAAAATATGATAATTTATATAAAAACAATCTAAATGATGTCTTAATGATCTTTAATATATATGTATATATATATTTTTTTCATAAATGTTTAATTTTAAACATGCGTGCTGTCTAGCAATTAAGAAGATACAACTTGGCAACTGAGAAACTCAGTTCACTTCGGACTATACACGGAAAAAATGCTTTGGTTGCAACAACCGAAAATATATGACAGTTATTATAACCAAAAAATATATATGGGCACTTTTGATTATGGCAATCATAATCGCTTTTTCCATGTATGCATCAATAATTTAGTAAAAAAATCATGTCTCTCTCTTTGACTTTGTACAAGCAATTTCGCAAATGTTGGTTGACATGGCTTCTATACTGCATTTTTTTTTTAATATTAGAAGTTCCATCATATAAATAGATATCATAGCAAGGGAATGCCTCCGAAACGAAGATCTAACTATCTACTTAATCTTAAATAGATATAAACATGGTGTGAAAAGAAAGGTGATCTATTGCGTATAATAGCGAAGATTCAGTGACCAATCATTGCAGAAATTGAGCTCATTTAATTAATTGAGCGCTTTGATCTATCATGTCAGAGGTCCTGGATTTGATCTTGGAACAAAAATATTTGCGCTCATGTCTTCTCTCGGAGAAGGCTAATAACCTCTCGAGAGTGTCTTTGATAGAGTCCTCCCCCCTGAAAGAAATACCTCCTGCCCATAGAAATCGAAAAATCCGTCATTCGGAGCCGAGAAAATTGTAGGTCTCATATGTGGCAATTATCGAATAATCAACGTACCACAAGCATATAAAAAAGGTACAGACCAGAGATAAAAAGAAGAAAAAGAAGAAGAAAAAGAAGAAGAAGAAGAAGAAAAATCTTTGATTTCTTTTTATCACATAAAATTAAAAAGTAACATAAATTTCAAATATTACAACAATCTATTAATTATTATGAACATTGCCCATCTACATATGGAATTGTTATGCGTCTTTCCTGATCGTGATATACATACACATAAATCATAACACAAAAATTATTACAGGTGCAGAATGGAAGCTCCTTACGGAGGATGAGAAACGCCCGTTCATCGATCAAGCGAAGAGGTTACGTGCACAACACATGAAGGAACATCCTGATTATAAGTACAGACCGCGAAGGAAACCCAAAACTTTGCGAAAAGAAGGCTATCCTTATAGTATTCCGTACCCAAGTGTTCCCATGGACGTTTTTTCGAGCAGGTAATTATTTTTAATATTAATCTTATTATATAAAATGTCCAGTAATGATTGCATGATTTGCTAGTAGATAGATTAAATCTTGTTTTAACAATCAAATAACAATCTCTTCTATTACTTTCCGAGATATTATAATTAAAGTTTAACCATGTCTAACCTACGTTGGGAGTTAGCGATTCGTTCTCGTTGAGACGAAACGAGACTTAAATCTCATATCGATTAGTTTCGACAAAGACAATCTCGTCTCGGTCTCAGTCTCGAGTAGAGACTCTCGATAATCGTAATAAGTGTTTTTTCAATTTCTTCTATAGTCTATGCGATTAAACTTTATATATATAATTATTCACTATTTCATTAATTAAACTTTCAAATTTTTTATATTAATTTTTTATATTAATTTGTGTACTAGTAATTTATATTTTTTTTAAATATCTAAAGGATATTTTAAAAGATATTTTTTTAATGATTTTATTTCAAGTGGTTCTCATTATTACAGATAAATACATTATTGAGATCATTTATCATTAAATAATCAATACAAAATTTAATAATTATATACACGCAATATTTTTCTTAATTTGCTTCTTTTTATATCAAATTAATAAAAATTTCTTTTAATAACAACAATTATAATATTTTACATATTGGAAGTTATATATATATATTAGGTGTTGGAATTAATTCGTAGTGTTTTACAAGTGATGGGAAGTACTTTCATTAATGTATTTTTTAATGCTCATGTGAAATAAATAACATTCTTTCATTAAAAACGCTACGAATTAATTCCAACACCTAATATATCTTCATATTCCAAAATTCGAGAGTCCCGACGAGAGTATCAGTATCATCGATAAAACAAATTTGCTCAAGAGAATGAACTTTCTATAAATATACCAGGTTGATCAAAAAGTTTCCGGAAGAGACCACCAGGTGATGCTCTGAGTCAGTTGATTTGAGTTCTTTTTTTTTGGCTAGGTTGCCACATCTATCATTGACATTTCCATCAAATTTTATCGCCATAGCTTGACATTTGTAAAAATTACGCCGTCTTGAGTACATCTACCTCTGCGCGTGTTTTCGATTTTTTACAGTTTTAAAAATGGAGTTGAATTTGCAACAACGAGTTTGCAACAATGAATACCATCCAACAGCCATCGAATTCACCCGATATGGCTCCCTGCGATTTTTTTCTGTTCGATCGAGTCCTGCGGGGAACGCGTTTTAATTAATGGAAAAATCGAAGACGGCTCTGATGGCTATACCAATAATAGAGTTCCAGAAATGTTTCGAGAGCTGGATCAAGCGCTGGCATAAGTGCGTTGCAGTCGCTGGAGAGTACTTTGAAGGGGACAATATCACTTTTGATGAATAAACTTGTATTTTGAATTTTCTGAATGAATTCCGGAAACTTTTTGATCAAGCTATTAAGGTCAAGATCATCAAACTATAAGTTTTTTTTTCTAAAGAATTACGTACACATTTTATCTTACGAGATTGCTCTTACTCAAATCTAGATTGTGTCATCACCCTTTTTATTATTTTAAACAAAACTATTTTTTATAACATTGATATAAGAAAAATACATTAAATTTCTTTCAATAACATCAATTAAGTCTCAGTATTGCTATAAGAAAAAAAACTTATAATTATTGAAGAAACTTTATTAAAAATGTCGAAATGTGACATATTATCTCTTAAAATTAACACTTTTTTTTTGTTTGAACTAATTACTAAAAACCTCGTTTTCAATGACTTTTATCTTTAACTTTCTTATCAAAATTGATTTAACGATTTGCTTTGAGTATCATATTGCCATACTGAAAATATAACATGAAATAGAGCACGAGCTTTTTTTTAACATTTTCTTACAGAAAAAGAGTTTATAATGAGAAAATGATTTAATTTAACATCTTATTTCAATTGACAATATATTTTTTATGCAAAAATTAGCTTTTATTTTTGTCTTTTTTTCAATACCTATATGTATCTTCTTGAAGTTGATAGAAGTCACTTCGTTGCATCACAGTGCAGCGAAGTGGCATATGAAAGTGTTGTTGCAAATATTGTACTTCCCACAGTTGTGTAAACACTCGTGGTGAACATTTGCGACTATACTGACGTCATGTCTGGTTAGTTTATTGTAACAATTGGGCGGACATAATGGAAACGAGCTCGCGTGTAAAAGCGATGGAAGAACACAGAAAACACACGGTTACCAATTTGTTTAATTAATACAGGATGAAGGCGCGAACGCATTATGCACGGTGAACGCGGCGATTTGTAATTTAATAATTGCAATCTTTCTGTGACACCGTGACAAAGAACCGCATACGAACGGGTTACGCCTGCATTACGTGATAATACGCGCATGTTTTTCATGTAAACAATCTCGCCATCCACTTATTTATTTGTAGTCCGAAAGTGTATGGATAATTGCATTGTTAAAAGTAACGAGTGTTTATACAAGATATTTTATAAATATTGCCACGTTTGAATTAGTCGTCCAATTTGTAGTTAGACCATACGCTACATTGTAATTGTTTAAGGCAGCTCACTGTGTGTGGCGTTAAAATATTAATTAATTGTTTAAATCAGACTGTTATAGTCGTCGTTGATTTGCATCTCTTACAAATTATATCACTGGTATTATCACGTTTTCATTATTACGTATAATTAAATTATATCCCGAATAAAATAAATAAACAGATTTCGCGGGAACAGATAAATCATTAGTCTGACATATATTCTGTGAGTTTTTAGACAATTCAAGTCACACAAGTGACCAAATTGTCATCAAACAATGCATCGAACAGCATATCGATAATTTACTCTTACAATCAACCGTCTTACAATCAACTCCGTTGATTCATGGTGCAGCTGAAGATGCAACTTTTAGCGATCAATAATTAATTAATAACTTGCAATTAATATTTTATTAATTTAAACTCCAGTATTTATATTAGCTCGATAATCTGCTTCCAAAGATCATAAAAAAATCCTTTTATTGATTTTATGTATAATTATATTGGTCTTTATTTATTTCTTTAAATATAATTCAAATTATTTTCATGAATATTTTGATTTCATTGCGCTAAAAATCATTCCATGAGTACTTTCAACTTAATTGCTGTTGTTTCTATGTAATATATTACAAAACAAAGTGTTTCAAAAAAATTTATATTTATATTCAGAAACGTATTTCTTAATAAACTCAGGTTGTTGTCTCTTCTATAATTCTATAATTCTTACTATAATTGTGTTCGTGTATATAAAGTATGTATTAAATTAAAAGTACAGACGTTTCAACCCTTGATATTGGATGCTCTTCAATGCATGAATATAATTATTTACATTACATGCGCAATAATAAATAAAAATTACAAAATACAATAAATAAGATTAGTTAATTCAGATACTTAATACTAATCAATACATGAGTATATGATCGCTAAACTTCATGAAAATGTAAAGTTTAATTTAAAAGAATAATTTAATATTAAAGATAAAGATTATACAACGGAAAAGAATGAAATTATTTTATTCATTGCCATAGGACAATTATTTCGTAATACTCATACTCCGTGTTTCAGAAAGAGAGAGAGATTTAATTTGTTCAGTAATAACCATACAACTCTCGTTATTGCAAGTTATCGCAAGATCTCAATTATAATTGAAATATTTACATATATGTATTATATATTCATGTATGAACTACAAAGAGTCAATACTGGCTTCCAAAATGGCATTCTTCTCTTATTTATGTTAAAACATTTTCATTAGTTCACGATTTTCAAATAGTTAGATATTTAAATTGTTTATCTCATTTTAAACTATTTTTCCTACGTAAGTTTTATTTCAAAATCATAAAGGTTCAGTACATATTGACAAAAATTATTACTGAAAAAATAGAAAATCAGATAAGTCAAGCAATTCAAGTAAATGATAAAATTCATCAATAAATACACTTCTGTACAAACCTAGGGAAACATCCTATTATATATACGATGAAAGCAATATCTATTGTGCAAAGTAATGGAATACTTTTATTACCACGGTTTCCTTACCGCTATTGTACATCCAGCGTGGAAACGATGGCGTTCGAATATTCATGCCACATTATATTACGCACCAGTATCCACATAGCGTAATTTATCGTCGTCATGTAATTCGTGCCCGCGTAGGCGAGTTTACGGATATCCTTCGCGAGCGCCTTTCCGTTTGAGAAATTATTAATTCCGACACTGGTGATATCGCGATTAAGGCCGGAATTTATCCTGACGCCCACGCATTCTCGCGGCTAAAAGCGATCGGTAATCTCCAATTTATCGGACACGTGGAGACTCTCTTGTCCTCCGTTTATATCTCCTTCGCGTTTCGATCGTCTCCCCCTTTTTTTTAGATATCCTTTCTTCACAAGTTTCTATTCAAGTTTGGATTGAAATTCCTGCATAGTTTAGATACTCCTAAACGGAGAATATATAAAGTGAAATGCATTTTTAAGATACACATATTTTTAAAAATTTGTAAAATTTTATTATTTATTTAAATTTTTTACGGAAATTTTTTTCAAATTAAAGATGTAAATCATATTTGATATAACCATCAAAATTATTTTATTATCATTATATAACTGTAATATAATTTTACTTAATTTTTTAGTTATTATTTTATGTTTTCGCAAAAGAAATTAAAACTAAGAAGAGCTAATGTGAGATACTACAGTTATTCGTGTATAATATAATATATGTAAAATATATTAGGTGTAGTAAAAAAAAATCCATTATTTTTCCAATAGATCACGCGTAGACGAGATACAGATTACTAAAGCCATCTATTGAAAAAATAATGGATTTCTTTTTACTACACCTAATATAAATTATATAAAATATATAAAATATATAAATATTATTGAAGTTAAGACTCACATTAGAGATGAATCAGTCGATGAGGTGATGCCTTTTGGAGCCAAACACCGTCGAATGTCAATGTGCAATAAGATTTATTTATTCCAATATCTTAGACATATGTTTCAATCCAATTTCGGAACCTTCTCAATGTAACTTGATGAATGAATTCGTTCAAGTTACATTGAAAAGAATCCAAAGCTAGATCGAAACGTGTATGTCTAAGATATCAGAATAAATAAATCGTATGTAAAGTATGTATTAAATTAAAAGTACAGACGTTTCAACTCTTGGTATTGGATCCTCTTCAGTGCATGAATATAATTATTTATATTACAATAATAAATAAAAATTACAAAATACAATAAATAAGTTAACTTAAATACCTAATATTAATCAATGCATGAATATATGATGCATGAATATAAACTTCACAAATTATAGAAAAATGAGTAAAAGCGTTAAGTCGTTAAATCATCATTAAACTGTTGTTAAAATTTAAAATCTTCATATCGTCTGTCATATTTTATCAGATATTCAAACTGTACGAATGTTAGAATTTTACACTAAAATAACGAGTCAAAAATTAAAATTAATAAAGTCATTATTAAATATATAAGTCAAACTTCACTAAAAACTTATATTGAAATCAAGTAACGATGATTTGTTACAATACGATGTGAATATAACGAGATGTTAGAACAATGTGAGATGTCAGTCTTCGCAAAGAGAATATTAACCCTTCATTGACATAACTTCATTGACAAAATAAAAAAAATTGAGTTTCAGAGAGTTGAGAACCACCCACAAAATTATTTTAACTCTCTGAAACTCAATTTTTTTTATTTTGTAGAACAAAATTATAATGTTTATAAAAAAATCTCCCAAATTTTTTAATTCCCAAAATAACCTACATTCAATATGCAATATCCTTTATCCAAAACCAACTTACAAACTAATTTTTTTTTTTCGAAGTATTATATCTGAACAACAATTCTGTAAATTTTTAACTTTTAATATTTAATTTTTTAAAAGTTACAATTTTTCAAAGTTAAGATTTTACTTTTAACTCATTTTTTCTCTATTCATTAAACTCAAGAATTTTTTTCATAAAAACTGTAATAAAATTTCAATCAAAAACAATTTGAATGTATTCTACAGACCTTGAAATTGACTCATAATTTTTTTCATATTGATTGGATTTTTTAAATAAGAATGAAGTTATTTAAAAAATTCAATCAATATGAAAAAAATTATGAGTCAATTTCAAGGTCTGTAGAATACATTCAAATTTTTGATTGAAATTTTATTATCACCCAGTGTGTCAAAAAAGTGATCGAAAAAAGAGATGTTCAACGAAGGATTAAAAATGTGAAATGTGGCAAATAAATAAATAAAGTATAAATATAAATAGATACAAAGATAATAAAACATGGAAACATTAATCCTTCGTGACCAAATCGTAATACAAGGGATTCAATAAATCGGTATCATTTTGAAGATTTAGATCGTTTTTTTGTTTTTTAATAAAAATCGCCTCCGAAATTAATTTTTTATTAAAGCATTTTTTCTCAAAGAGCAATACGTTGCTCTAATTAAATTCATGGTTGTGCTCGATTCTATGTTCAGTGATGACAGACTATTGAATAGTATTTCTATTAATATGATTCTTGTGTTCATTTATTTTCGTTTTTAATAAGCGTTTTGTCTGACCAACGTAGAACGCGTCATGATTCTAAACAATTGATCTTATATGTCACATTAAAGGTAGAGCACTTAAGAATTATTGTTTATGGTATGTAGTATGTATTAGGTGTTGGAATTAATTCGTAGCGTTTTTTAATGAAAGAATGTTATTTATTTCACATGAGCATTAAAAAATACATTAATGAAAGTACTTCCCATCACTTGTAAAACGCTACGAATTAATTCCAACACCTAATAGTTTATGGTATGTAGTTTATGGTGTGCCAAGTAAATTCATGTATGCTAAAACTGTATGCTAAAACTTATATTTTCAACTCAATAATTGAGATTTACCTGAAATTTCATTGTTGGATTATTTACCCTCTATATTATATGTATATACAATGTGTGTGTTCTTTGAATCTGAAAATGCTTTCCTTATTACATAGCACATAAAATTATAAATAGAATTCTATGAATTCTGATGCGAATTATACATTGCCTGAACGCATCTAAAATGAGCTCTATTATATTACTTACTTCCGGTTATTATTTTTGCTGAAGCAGCATATCTCTGCTAGAATATGCTAGTTTCATCTGAACATTTTTAAGAAAAAGGCAGAAACATGCTTTCACTTTTTCTCTTTGTCACACGGACATTATCACCAATTTCTTCCCCATGTTCTCTTTTCCTGGCGGTCTTTTCAGTTATTTCTGCCTCTCAATCGTATTTACTCAATGGCACGCGCATAAGACAAGTGTGTAGGTGGTTGGAATAAATTATCAGCTTAAGGTTGGAATACCGACTCGAATTTCCGCTCATGTACACGATTGTTCGTTCTTTAGGGATGTGAATTAAAGATATATTTTGGCCAGAAACTCGTCAAACGCAAAAAATCGCTAATTCTTATATTAATTAAAAATTATGATCGAAGAACAATAAATTGAACTAGAAAGAAATTGATAAGATAAAGAAATAATATTATGAATTAGATTGTTGTCAGAAAAAATCAAATTTTTTAGATATAAAACTTTCTAAAACATTCAAATTAATTTTGCGTATTAATAGTTCGCGGAAAAGAAGTTGCAAAGAAAGAATTAGTGGAAAAAATGTTTTCCAAATTTCATAATTTATTATCGGTCAGACACGTTTCGGAGCGAATTATTTAATGGATGACGGATTTATGATCGCGAGTTATCCGCAAAGTCACGTGCTCTCAGCCCTCAGGCGTGACCGGTGAGCCGCGGACTTTTGCATAACTTCGCGGTAGCTTAAGACAATTCGATAAATAATGAACCAGCGACATGTTTATGCGCTCGCGTGTCTGTATTCAATGAATCTTCGAGCGAACACGATCTGCAAAGTACAACCCTACCGCGCCGAAGGGAATTATTCGAGGATTTATTCCGTGCACTCCTCATCCTTCCACCGCTTGACTTCCGCACCTCCGAGATATCAAGTCGATTTGTAACGATAAAATATACACATGCACTAAAATTGAAAACGAAGTTTTTCTAAAATCCCTGAAGATTGAAATGTAATCGAATGATGAATATTCTTTTCGGAATACATCAAACTTTCTTTCATTCGTTGAAAGAGAGAAAGAGAGAGAGAGAGAGAGAGTATTATCATTCTTAATCAATTAAATAAGAGTAAAACCGAAGAGGACAATCACTAAAAAAAATAGATGTACACCCGAACTTTTGACTTCAAAAACTTCAAGGATTGTTATGGATTTCATGAACTTCGCTGGATTTTGTCGGACTTCATAAAAGTCTTCAATTTTGAGGAATTCATCAGATTTCTGAGTTATACAACAGAATTCAAGAGTGATTATCCCATCTAATTCATCGGACTTTATTGGATTTCATCGGACTTTATCGGTGTACATCGGACTTTACCGAACTTCATTGGACTTCAAGGAATTAAACGAACTTCTGACGACATGTACACCGAACTTTGCCGAACTACATCAGACTTTACCAAAATTTACCAAACTTTATCAGACTTTGCCAAACTGTATCGGACTTTATCGAACTACATCAGACTTGACCAGACTTCATCGGATTTCGAGGAATTCATTGGACTTCTAACGGGTTGTATACCGGAATTCAAGAGTGATTACCCCATCGAATTTCCCATTAAGAGTGATTCTCTCTTCGGTAAAACCACAAATAGATGACAAGATTCTTACGGAAACTTACGTACCATTCAGATGTAGGTAATATAACGATCAAATGTTAATCACCTAAAGTTAAAAAAGAAATTTCATGTGTTCAACAAGTGACAAATAAAAGATATTTAAAAATATAATATTATTAAAAAAAAAGAATAAACAAATGTACAATCAAATCATCGCTTACATATCGCTGCCCATACGACGTATCTATTCTTTATTCTCGTGAAAAACTACGTAACCGCTTGAGTCGGCGAGTTTCGAAACACGAAGAGCTAGATGCGCTGAGCTGAGAAAACGACGTAGTACCGCAGAATCTTTTGTGTTTGTGTTTAAATTATTGTGCGACGAATTACGACAGAGACGGTCACGACGCGCGTAAAATATTTAGACTTAGTAATCAGACTCCGTCTCTCTCGCGCTTTCGTCCGGCATGGAAATTCAAAATTACGTAATCTAGTACGAGGCGCGAAACAATGAAGACAATAGCAACCCAGGAACGGCAAACAAATCTCTACAAACCGAGGGGACTCGAGCGTACCAAGCTTCATCTGTCCTCGAAATTTTGTCAGTGAAATGAAGGAGATAAGTCAAAATCGGCAGATGCCATAAACAGAACATGTCTAATTAACATCAATTAAACTGAAAAGACAGAGATCAAATTAAAAACTTCGATAAGACATATCGATGCGAAGCTATTAAAGTAAAAAAAAATTATTTGATATCTAGATAGACAAAAAGATATCTTTAAAAAATGTCGATCGTCTATTTTTTTCTAGTGCAACGCTCTCCGTTCAACCCCTATTTTAAAATCCCATGTACAAACATACAGGTATATCAGGTAATTAATATTTAAATTAGGCCAAAGTCATCAGCATCTTATTCATGAACATTGTGATTATTTTACAGGAATGGCCGGTAGCATGGGACAAGCTGCAATGGGTTCCTATTACACCCCCGCCGCGGCTTACGGCTCACTCTCGGCGGCTAGCATGGCTGCAGCCGCAGCAGCGGCTGCACAACAATCGGCTGCATCTGGTCTCATGTCTAGTCTCGGGTCAACTCCTCCGGTAAGTCAATAATTCTTTCGTGTGATCAACGTGTATGCTGCATGTCAATGCTACACTGCCTCTAGGCGTAAAAGAGATGTAGGTCAATTAAAAAGGAATAACAAATGTATATAGACATTATATACTTTTTAAACAAACTATGTAGTTTGAAAGTTGTTTTTACATTATATTTTTGGTGAACAATTTTTATATTAGTTTACATTAGTTTACAAAAGAATGCTTTTTTTAATTCAAAAAGATGTTTCTTATAGAAATTTTAATTTTTAAAATGCTGAGAACAAAATGCTGCAAGATAAATTTCATTGCCACATTAGATATTTCTGAAATAATTAATATACAAAAATGGCTTTTTTGGTATTTTGTTGTTATTTAATATTTGTTTATAAAAAGGGTTAACGTTATCTTAAAATCCTAATTAAAAGTCATGAATGTATAGTTCATCCTTTATAAAATATATCTTTTTAAATTTCATATCTTACTTTTTAATCATATTATTCAAATACAGAATTTTTCTAAGATATTAAATTTTTCTATAAAGTCATTATACTAATAATTTCTAAAATTGTTATGATTATTAATACACAGTATAATTTACCTTTATAGATTTCATTAAATGTATATGTACGTATATGCATATGTATACAGGATCAGAGTCATTGAACCAGCTTTTTACCCTATGAGAAAATTATCGACTGCACGCATGTTGTAATCCAACAGGTATGAAGTCGATAATTTTCTCATAGAATAAAAAATTGATTCAACGATTCTGGTTCACCCTGTATATGTAGGATAAGTTAAGGAAGAAAGCATACTTTTTGTTCATTACTTTTGCGAGATTTATTTTTCATTGTAATACCACTTGAACACGATTAGGCATAGAGAGATCGCGATGCGTGCGTGTGATGATAATCGGGAATGCTCGGACGGGTTCGGAGCCCGGCGAAGGAAGAGTGGGGAAAAGGAAAGCGCGGTAATCGAGAACGAGCAACCAAGCTCTATTATAACCTCAATTAATGAACAAAAGTTTAAGCGAATTGAGGCCTCTGCTCCTCGAGGAGGTTGTTCATTGGGTCAATTGATCCATTATTTCTACATGATACTGTGACTCTGTAGTTGAATTGGAAAACCTAAAAAGGGGAATCAGAAGAAGAAAAATGAACAAGTGAGCGTGTCATGGCGTGTATCACGTGTACGAAATCTTTTTGTTAACCTAAAAGTTAATTTACACTGTGTGTAATAAACGCCTCTCTTTATTCTCTACATCATCGCCGAAGCAGTCTAGAAGCCATTTAGCGAACGCAAGGAGGGCCAACCAAGTCTCAAGCTCTGTATGAAATATTTAGGGCCTTACAAAGTCAAGCGCGTCTTGCGCAACAATCGCAAGAATCGCACATCATCGGCTGCTGATATTATGAAACCGTGGACAAATTGTTTGGAGGATCCAGGAGACGAGGAAGACGACATCTGAGAGTAGATGTCGGTCGAATGGCCGAGTGTAGGATAAGTTAAAATAAGGAAGAGAGCGTATCTTTTATTTGTTTTTTTTTTTTTGCGAAATGTAGGCTTATTTTTCATTGTATCATTTGAACGCGATTACCGCCGCTTCTCTTCTTCCCGCTCTTTCTATATCGGGCTCCGAGTCCGCCCGAGCATTTCCGAATATCCCTACGCGCAGAGACATCGCAATACGTGCGCGTAGGGATATTCGAGAATGCTCGGGCGGACTCGGAGTCCGATATAGAAAGAGCGGGAAGAAGAGAAGCGGCGGTAGTCGAGGACAAGCAGGCGAGCGTGTCATGACGTGTATCGCGTGTACGAAATCTTTTGTTAACCTAAAAATTAATTTATGCTGCATATAGTACACCTCTCTTTATTCTCTACAACACGTCTCGTAAAATTAACCTAACCAAACCTAAAATACATATATCCATATGTATACACACTCACACAGAGTGTGAGATTCTCATTTTAATTGTCCTCGAATATTTAAAAGAAACGCATTTCTAAAGGAAACATGCTGCAGACAAAAGTTGTATGTGTATCCATAGCCACAAATGAAAAATTGTATACGACGTTATCGGAAAATTTGTTACCTTAGAAAAATTCTATATTTAAATCCTTCATGATTAAACATGATTGAAAAATGATAGAATATAATAGAAAACATGATAAAATATTGAGATAAAAAGAAAATGTATTTTATAAAGAATGAACTATATTTCATGACTTTTAATTGGAGTTTCAAGATGTTAATCTTCTTTTTAAAAGAATGCCAAATATCATTTTAAAAATCATCATTCTCTATTATCTTGGATACTTGACGTGCTGAAATTTGTTAGGTTATAGCATTGTTTTAATTTAACATTAAAAAATCTATAAGAAACATCTAGTCCAGTTTAGTCATTTTTTACTGTAAAATGATACACTTTTAGTGTAATCTTTTTTTGTACTGTCTTTTATTAGCCAAAATTTACACGTTCTCCTGATTAAATTTATGATTTTCATTTTGTGCATAGAGATTGTGACAAATGAAGAGATTTTTTTTGTGCAGACTGCACTTTCAGGTATGTTTTTTTTTATAGTTTATTTATTTATTATTATTTTTTTGTTATGAATTAAAATTTATAAAATAATAACAAAAATTTTAATGTTTTTATATAAATACTTCAAATGTTCAAAAAGACTTATACAACATTTCATTGTAATTCACTGATTAGTTACAAATATTTAGAACAAATAGGTATTTTATTTATGGACAACTAATTTCTTATTAGTAATTTTCATCACAATGTAACTTTATACAAATCTTGAATACTTAAAATATTTTTAAAAAACTGAAATTTTTGTCATTATATATTTTATAATAATTTCCATACATTTCTATTAGAGCACAGATAAAAAAATATTTATTTTTGTATTTTTATGTGTGAAATTACTTTTGATCTGGATGATAAGCCGTCGCTAAATATTTCATCGAAATATTTCTACATCATCATATATAGGAAATAGGAAATAATTCATAACAGTCAAAGCTGGATCTTAAATAATTTCAAATGAATTTATATATATTGTATAATAATGTACATGTGGCAGACGCCGAGTCGAGCGACATCAAGATTTCAATCTTGATTTACCATCTCGTTTACTTATACATATACTTATGTATAAGTAAACATATACACACACACACACACACACATTCGAATAATCGCAAGTACCTATATACGTATATATTATATTATACATACATATATAATATATACCATATTTGTTATCATTTGAACCGCGCGCCGAATTTCTACATCAAAGACAAATGTATTGTACAGATGTAATTTCGACAGACATTTCAGCAGACATTAACCTGACGTTTTGCCCAATACGACAAAGTCACGACAATCACAAATCCATTTATCTTGAAGACAATTGGCGACTGGACGTATCGAGTTTGCGAGACAGATCGCTGGTCGCGTAAATACAGCAAAAGGATGAGAAAAAGAGAATTGCGCGCGCGCGTACGAAGAGAATTCAAAAAGGAGAAGGAAGGATGAGGGTGGAAACGCGGAAGGTATGTAACGAGAGAGGAGGATGAGTGTAGGTACGTTGCATTCGCTGTCGTAACAAAGGAGCCCCCGGGTGGCTTCGCAAACAGAAACCGGAGACCGTGGTCTGTGTATGAATTTCCGCAGCTGGCTACGGGAGACAAACAGATAGCTAGTTATTTCTGCATTCAACGGCTGAATGGCCGACGCGTCTGGAACGAGGCACCGGCGCGATACAAGCGACCATTATTGGCAAACATCGGCGGCGAGCGGCACGCTCGAAGAATTCCAGCGTTATCTTCGCCCGGCCGAGTTCGAGCTCTTCCTTTCTCTGTGGCGTATTAGCATCGCGAAAATATCTGATCGCAAAATCTTGAGGGAGAAAGAATTATTTTAGTTTTCAAATCAAACGATTAGAAGTCATTGTAAAGAAAAATCTTTCTTATTAATACAATCTATAACATGCTAGAGAAAAAGAAAGAAAGAGAGAAAGAAATATACAAGTTTGCAGATTATCGCCATGTTTTTATCCATTGCTAACGACAACGTTTCGTGAACCTTGCTGTTTACTTTATCAAGAGGAGCACTGATATATTGGAGAAAAGCGTTATCAGAGAAAGGAACAGAATATCATTACGTTGGTTTTTCTGGTTGAACTAGCACACTTTTAGAAATTAAAGTGAGATATTTGTGGTTGATATGATTGATATTAGTCGATTGGTCGATTGGTTGATATTGGTCGATTGGTTGATATAGTCGATTGGTTGATATTGGTCGAAAGACCAAAAAAAAAAATGGAGAAAAGAATTGGAGAAAGAGAGTTCTAGTGCATAAAACAGATCACCTTATTAAACATTTTCGGATAAATCCGCTCAACCTCAATTGCTTATTGTTAGACAGTAATATAAAAGACAGATTTAAGATAATGAAAATTAAAGTATAAGAATTTTTTTAAATTATATTCATGCATAATGTGTATGAATGTGCTCGCATATATACAATATATGAATGTTTATGTGCGTGACTAAGATGCCCAAAAATGAGCTAGAAACACACAAATCAGAATTATATCTTAAAAAGTAAATCCGCACAAGGCTTAAGTTTAAATTCCGTTATAATGTCAGCATAGATAAAAGTGAGATAGGGAAACGGAAAGAGAGAAAAAGAAATTTTTGTGAAGTGGTTAAAACTCTTTCAAGAAAAAACATGCTTGTAGTAATTGCTAAATTAAAAACTCTAAACAAAACCACGGTCATCTTTCTTTAAACTTAAGAGCCAAGATCAAACACAGAGTAGTTGGCTAATTGGCCTAACTATCTTAAGTTCGATTTAATAGAAATCAAATTTTTTTCAAGGTTTATATTAATAGTTTAATCATCTAATAAGAAGAAAAGAGAGTGTTAGTTAAATTATAATATTATAAATACAATCAGTTGAAATCAATTCTTATCGCCGATTATGGTAACTATTATATATATCCAAAAAATAAATTCATTGAAAATTATTTTGCTGATTCAATAAAGTTTAATTATTTTAACAAATCTTTATTTTACCAATGATCTAACAGAATCACGTTTCGAGATTCTCGCGAATGAAGCAAGTTTTCATAAAATGTTGAAGCGGCTGAAATATCGAGGGCTGCGGCACAATAGAGCAATGTGAGGGAGTTGACTTTCTTGCTCTCTGTGCTCGCCCACCGTCCCGAGGCCATTTGGAAAATAAAGTGCGCTCATTCTCCTTGGCTCATGACTTCGACGACACATGGCGCGAAAAGAGAATACCGGTCTTTTGTGACCCAAAACAGAGGCGAATAGTGTACGGTGTCATTGTCCTTTTTAACAGTGACATCGCGTTGGATAATTAAGTCTCTGACAATGACGGCATAGAATGAAAACGGAATGAACTATCACGACTATAACAAAGACGACTATAACAAATGAAAGAAACAAATGACATACATGTAGAACTATAAACATGTAGATATCTAAAATTAGACATAGTTACACACTATACATACTCTATTTACACTCATATATACAGGGTATATCTTAAAAAGCGCCCATTAATCATATAGCGCTATTCCTAATCAAAAACTAAGTCGAAAAGTCCTGAGCCATCTTATGATTTTCGCAATAGTTAACGTGATATTAATTTCTAAAGATTGTTAAATAAGCGGGTGAAATTGATACATAAGACAATTTTAAAATATCTTTCAGTGTTTTTGATGGAATATCTAAAAGATATCTTAAAGTTTTCTCATACGTCGATTTTGTACATTCTGCTCATTAGATAACTAAAAAAAAGTTGCGAAAATCGCAAAATGGTAGAGGAATTTTTACTCAATTTTTTATCAGAAATAACACTATATAATTAGTGAATACTTTTTAAGATACATCCAGTATTATAACAATTTTTTTAAAACTTTTGTATTTATGTATAATTTCTCCATTTCGAATAAATCGGAAAAACTTAAATAAGCCATATTAAAAAATAATTTAGGTAAATAATTATATGTTCATTTTGATCATTTCATCATTTAACTTATCTATAATCATATTGAAAAAAAGTTACTGAATTATTTCAAATGTTTTTATTTCTTTATTCTAAATTAATTCAAGAAATTTCTGGAGCATATAGCCGATTTAAAAAATTCAAAAATTCGCTATTGAATTAACCATTAAAGTTTGATCGAAAATTATGTTTCCGTTTAAGTTACGATCAGCTTTGACTAAAAATTAAAATTTCGGTTAAGTTTCGGTCGAAATTAGAAAGAGAGTTTTGGCAACGTACAGTCGAATTAATAAACATTTACCGATTAATAAACATTTATTACTTAAAGTTTATTTAATATAAAATATTTTCTCTTGATTTTCCATATTTTATTTAAAAAATATTTGTATTTCATATTTTGAAATTGCGTAATTATTGAAATATAATTGTGATCTTGCGGATAGTGTATAACATATCACAGATCGTGATAAAACAATTGTATTATTAGGATGATGATAATATGTCTAACTACTGTTTTAATAATTACATTATATTTATGAAGAAGAAATACATATACATTATATATATGATCTTTATACGTATATGTATATAACTTTTTCAGGATATGAAAGTTTTAGTTTTGGTTTCGACTGAAATTGACACATAATCAAATATTCGTTTTCTATTTTGACTAAAAAAGAATTTAAAAAATTGTTTCAATCGGACTCTATTAATCATCTAATAATCATCTAACGTTCAATTAATAAAATACATGTGTCGATTGTGATAATTGGAATCAAAGTCGCGATCAAGCCGACTTTTTATGCGAATATTTCAACGTCGCGCGATGAGAAGGAATTTTTTAATTTCTGGACGCGATTCGCGGATAGCAGCGAGTGGGGCTTTTGAAGCGAGAGAAGCTGAGCTGTAATCAATTGGTCGTAGCGGGCGGGAGAGACAGTCTTAGCATTACTAAGACTGGATGTAAATCATCTGGACAAAGCCGCTTAACGATCCGACAAAGGATCCCGCCACGGTCCTTCCTTCGTCCACGAATTATAGAATCGGGAATATGCGCGTTGCTTCCCGCCCTCTCCTTTTTCTTCTTTTACTTTTTCTTTTTTTTTTTTTTTTAAGCACCGGTCTCTCGGGCCGGTCCCAGTTCAACTCGGTTCAACTTGCGGCAGCCTGGTCCAAACGTGCTTGGCCCAACGTGACGAAATTTATGACCATTGGCATCGTTGTCTTCGACGTAGAACAAATCTCCAGCCCAGGTCGCGACGCGGATCCACCGATTTCGCGATTTGTGCGCGCCGACCGAATCGAATGCGTTGAGTATCAAATTTGTCGCTTGCTCTTTTTGTTCGTCGCGATGATGCCGTATATTCAGTGTTCGCTTTTTCGAAAATCAACGTATACCAAAAAATCGACGAATTAATAGCAAACTAATAGCGGAGCACTTTAAATTTGTTTGAGATCTTCGAAAGTTCGCATCTTTTTGGAGAATTTTTCTAAACAGATCGATTTCCATTAATTAGATATATGTTCGGTCCGATTGCCACGGGATGTAAAAATCTAAAAATAATATTTGGATTGTCAGACGTTTCCCTGTTTTTGTTGTAGATACCGGTGGACTCGATGACCATGAAATATTCTATGGAGTCTGACAAATATCGCGCAGCCTATATGCCGCCCAGCACTCTGGCAATGAGCATGTATCCAGATCCTAAGTACTTGGATTCTTCTAATCCCAAAACTTATTTGGACCGTACTTACTTAGATGCGAAGGCATACTTCGAGCAGTCGAAGTTGTACATGGATCAGAAACCCACTATTGCAGAATACAATCGGCCGAACTACGAGCCCAACAAGCTCTACGAAGAATCCAGCCCAAGTAGTGTCATTGGCGGAAATGGACCCGCAAGATCACCGCCCGCAGAATCGCCAGACACAAGCAAGCAACACGAAAGAACAGAACAAGGCTCATCCAGTGCGAGTTCGACATCAACATCATCGGCCGCGAGTCCCGGTGCTTTGCCATATCCGTATCCCGCATCAGTCCAAGCTAGCGGCCTGCTGACTCCGCAGATGGCTCAATATGGTGGATACCAAATGGCACCGGCATCGGGAAATGAATCTTTTCGGCGACCGTTGGTCATTTTGTGACCCGATAGAGCGTAGCTCTGATCTATCTTCGAGGAGCAGTTGCTATGATGGCTACCGCAGACTCGACGGAACGAAATGACGAAAACGTAGACTTTTCCGGATCATCAGTCATGGTTCCGATGATCAGAAAAATGGATGATTCCTAGACATTTTAAAAAAGGATAATTTCTACATGTCTCTCTTGATTGTGGTGATTGTGAATTTAACGAGGCAAAAATATTAATATCATATGTATATATGATCAAATCATCGAGGAAAAAGATTTTTTAAATCAAAAAGTAAAAATTTTCCAACAACTCTATTTCCTCATTAGAAGGAAATGACTACCACGGATTTAACGATGTCTGCTCATGAGTACTAGTCATCAGTTTGGATATCTTGTTAGAATTATATCTCGAGTTTTTTCTTCTTTTTCTTTTATAGAAAAATTCTTGAAGAATCTGAAACGAGTCGAACAAAGACTTCATGAATCAATTAAACGAAATTTGAAAAAACAAAAAGAAGAAATCGCCGGTACTTTCTAAAACAGATCTAACAATTACAATATTATTGAAAAAAATTATTATAGAAGACATTCTTAATCCAACATCTGCCGTTCAAGACGATCGATCTGAAAGATTTTTATCGACTAAGAAAGATTAAGCATTTTCCTGACGGCAAGATATAATCAGTGTCACTCTAACAGCAGAATTAAACTGGCCAATGGACTACTTCAAAAAATGGAGATCGATAAAATGATAATCGTTATAGATGACAACGAAGACCGGAAGGACTTTCGCTGTGTGGTCGATTGACTAGTCTTGACTGAGACATATTAAGAACTGAGAACGTGTACATAGCTCCTGTGTAAATAGTGTAGTAAAAACTTGGCTTCTTCCGGGTTTCCGCGCGTGAATTCGCTTTCTTATGGTCGCTTTCGTCAGGAGCCTCGTAATCCTTGAAGAGAAAGCAGTACAAATGGAATCATGTGCGTGGTGTCCAAGAGATCTCATGTGAGTGAATGTTCGATTACGTGGGAAGAATTACGTGAAATGTAAGAATAATAATCTTTTTACTTTTTCGTTTTTTTCTTTTTTTTTCTTTAATATTAAGCGGTTTCGATATTTGTTAATATGAAATTTTATTTAACTTTTATTGCGCTAAGATAAATATATTGTTATTTTTGTAAAAGTTAACATTTACATTTTTGTAAAGGTTAGTAGCTGAATGTTATTACGATATTTATCGTCGTTAATTATAATCTGCTATTAATTTAGTATGATTTTTCTGTTTGAGCTCAATCAATCGATTTAATGTCAAAATCAAAGCAATCTCGCAAAAAAAAGAAATATTTATTATTTAATTTTTTAAATGAATATATATATTGAAATTTTGAAGTCCGTCATCTCGAAAAAAAGTATTTTCGCCTAACATTTACAGTTATTATTATGTAAATATCATCACAAGCTTCAATGATCTAAGTGATTAGACGCATGCGCTATTTAAGGAGATTCAGATCATGCCGTTATGGAGGTTAAATTATGATTGCAGGCATAATTTAAAATGATATATATCTATGTATTTTTCACAAATTGATTATTATTCTTTTATGATGATTATTACCAGTAGATTATTAATTTAATTTGTGATATTACATAATTCCAGCTTCATTCATAGCTTCAGAACATTAAGACTGTTTTTCAATACTGATCAATAATCAGTGCGCAGTTTGCTTGAACTGGAAATTGTAAGATTCATACAAAAATATTTTTAATCCTAATCGGTATTGGCTTCAAAATTTCTTTAAACTAATATCCAGTGTATTTTAGGTTAATATACCTTTACTTAAAGTTATACGTAATTGAACAATTTTTTTTTTGAAAGTCCGAAAAATAGAGTTGTGTAACTTAAAATTTTGTAAGATTCTAAAAAATATTTGTCATAAACATTTTTTTACAATGTAATTGAAGCATTCAGATCCACTGGATCTATGAATACCGATTAGGATTAAGGGGATCCTAAAGTAAAGCTCAAACTGCGATGGGATTGATTCAATAGGACTAACATCTATAGGTACAATTTACACGTCATCGACATCACTACATGCTATTATATCAATATCGCACGCACACATATACCTAAATTTTCGTAAAAAGTTTTTGTATCGAATTAGGAGAAATTAGGAATTATGTAAGTTGAATTTCACGTTGTTTCGTATAGCCTAGTAGTCTGAAACCTCCAATTTTTTTCGTAAGTATAGATTCAAAACTTTTATATCAAGCATCACAACTTGACAGCTACAGATGTCATATTGAACTAATTATAAGTAATGGTAAAGAATAATTTAATTTCAAAAATTTTTTCGTTATTGGTATAAAAATCTACGCACCAAATTAGTATTAGTGCGTATACTTTAATAAAAATTTCCAAGTCTGTAAAAGTAATACATACGAAAATTCTTTACGAAAATTATTGTATTTAATCAGTAAAACAGACGACTTTAGGATCTCCTTAAGTACCAAGACGCTTTGGTCGAACCATTTTCACTATTTTATAAAAATCACTTGTTGTATGACAAAGTGAAATAATTATTTTTTAAGAAGCTAACACTAGTTAGTAGCATCGAAAATTACTTTAAACTTAGGACTAGGTTTAAGATGTTCCTTATAGATTTTAGAATATGCTGAAAACGGTGCTGCAAGCCAAAAAATTCTGATACTCAAGTTTCCAGAATTTTTTGAGGTATAATATTTAAAAAAAAGCTTTCCTAATGATATTTCACATTTCTATTGTTAAAGAAGTAATCTTAAAATTCCGATTAGAAGTCATGAACCATCGTTATATTATAAAATACATTTATTTTTATGTTGACAATTTCAATCCTGTTAAATGCCGAGAGTAATCAAAATTTATTTTTTAATTACACAATTTTTATATTTTATCCACCTTGATAGATTAGCAATCTTACATTATGAGTTAAAGACAATTCATAAATTCATAAATTCATAATTATAAACCTCAAAAAATCAATACCTACTCACTGACACCCAAAAATCTCTCATTTAAAAATTTTGCAAAAGCATTGACCTAGAAAAATATCGATCTATTGCTAAGAAAAATGATTACTGAATTTATTTTCTTTCTTTTAAATAATGATTACCTTTAGCAAAGAATATTTTCTTAATCATAATCTTAAAATATACTTATTACAAAATTTTAGAAAAATTCATTATTATGTACTCAAAAAAACAAGAATTTATTTCCTTTTGAAGAATATTGTAAAATTAATAGAAGAAACGAAGTCTTCTTTAATAACTTTAAATACGAAACGCCACGAAACACGGTCTGAATGTTAAGATGTTAAACTATTATATATATTCATATAAATGAATTAATTTTAAAAATGATAATTGCCGATATGGTTGTCGGACTTTCTACGCAATCAATCTGAAATATTAATAATCCCCCCAAATTTCCCAAATTTAATCTTAAAAAACTGTAATAAACTTATTGCGAAAAATATTGCCTCGGCTAGGAGTCGAACTCGCTTGCATTCCATGTGAGCATCCTAAGCCTTTAGACTACCGAGACCTTAACAATATTTCTCGTAATAACGATATGTATAGAGAGTTACGCATTGTAGGCGTATAAACAATAAGATTGGAAATAAGATCGTTTATGTTAAATACATTACTTTAAATACGAAACGCCATTATGGTCTGAATGTTAAAATGTTAAACTATTATATATATTCATATAAATGAATTAATTTCAGAAATGATTAATTTTATAATATTGATAATAAGCATAAAACAAATCAAATTTGTTTCACTTTAATAAACTTGATTAAAATATTAAACTTATTAGAATTCAGAAATTATCAATTAATAATATAAAGAAAATGAAGAGATTTGAAAAATTTAACGTATGGAATGCAAAACGTTTAATATACATATTACATTCTTAAAATGAGAGGGATAAATTAATTATTTAATAAATTAAGTAACACAATCAATACTAGAAAATACCTATGGTCGAAGCTAGATCTTCATTGCTTTAAATAATTTAATCTTGAATTACTAATATACATTATATATGTACTTGCATATATAATGCCATATTGTAGTTTTTAGAACTGCACGCCGAATTGTTTTTTCGGACTATAAACGCAATTAAAACTGCTCTAGTAATCGCGACTTAAATTGACAAGCAATTTAATAATTTGATGCTATCATCAAGCATCATATTATAAAGATGTTAATACGTTGAAACTGTTAATAAATTTATTGCGAAAAATATTATCTCGGCCGAGAATTGAACCAGCCGACTTCACGGTCTTTGCCTTCTTCGGAGCTAGTTCACTCGGTGAAATCCATTGTTTTGACTGTTCCTTCGTCTCGGGTGTGAAGTAATGGATCCATGTTTCGTCCACAATAATGATCGTCGCAGAAATTCATCTGAATTATATTGAAACATCTCTAAACATTGTTTTGAAATCATCACACTGTCGCGTTTATGGTCCACAGTGAGCAAACGCGGCACCCATCTTGCCAATAGCTTTTTCATACCCAATTGTTCGTGCAAAATTGAAATCACTGCCATGTGATATGCTTGTGGTTTCAACAAGCTCGCGCACTTTCACTTGTCGATCAGTCAAAACAATATCGTGGACTTTATCGATGATTTCTGGCATAGCAGCCTCAATTGATATCCCGAACGAGGTGCATCACATGTGGATGTACGACCACGTTTAAATTAATTCACCCAATGTATACAGTCGCAAACAGCGGAGGAACAGCTCAGTATCAGGCTGCTCCTCGTCCTGATGAAGTGGAAGGTTCACGAAACATTGGCCAAGAATGGATCTGGATACGGAGGATATCCGCGAAACGCATATAGAATCTTTACATAGAAAGCACTCGTGGAAGCCTCAAGAATATTATCAGATTCTTAATATTGTTTAAATTAAATACATACATTAAATATAATACATGGTAATAGCACAGTATACACAGCACAACTCTCTATCGGCATCTTTAATGTTAGTATTGCCAAAATAGAGTGCGCATGCGAAATAAGTAAATTACCTAGCGTTGCCATGATTACCACCTAAACTTCTTTCTCTTTTCATCCTTTTTCACTCTGTCAAAATTCCTCGCAAAACTCACTAAATTTATTCGCATCGCAATCCAACGAATTCGTTGAAGTAAGGGCTGTTGTAAGAAGTTGCGCTACTGTATATATTGGGTATGGGAAAAAGTTCGTTTTTCTCACTAGATGGCATTAAATGCTCAGCAGTCGGTGAAAAATGGATCACGTATGATAATCGAACTCGCAAAAGATCGTG